TGTTATTACTAATACGAATTAAAAATGTTGGTGATTTATGCGTGAACTACCACTTCTGTGGGTTATCTATCCGTTGACATTTTTAACGCACATACCTATAAATTTTAAAACGTTCGTCATTAAAAACGTTTTATTTATAAAAAATATATATATATTGTTAATAAAAAAAAAATAAGAAGCACTACGTCAAATTGTAAGCAATTAAATTACCTATATTATTGTGTATTATTTTTATTATTTTTTTCTAAAAATGAGATGTAAATATTATTTAATTAAGAAAATCGAACTGCAGCATGAAAATAAAAGGATAATTACCGTTATAAGTGTTATAACCCTGGTATATGCGGATCACCCTGTATATATTAATAGTGTTTTATCATGACGTACATAATAATTATTAAACTATCGGTCGGAGGAAAAAAATTCGCCACCGTAAAATTGCATCCGTGTGCATAATACTTTTGGGGCCGTCGTCGGTCAGYGGCAGCAATCCGCTGACTTCGCGTTGACAGCCGCAAACGTAATTATATATTATAAGCGCAGTGTTAGTGGGCCGCAGTGGGTTACAATGTGCCAATGTCCCCTACTTCACGCAGATGCAGTCAAGAAGGTAATACCATATTATATATATTTTATCATGATACATTATAACTTATAAGTGTGCGTATGATATTATATTTTAGTAACTCGTTCGGTGGACGTATTTCTCACGCGCCACGCAGCTATACGACTACCGTTTGAGTGGTGTTTGACACACGGTACGCGTCGGATAGAGTTTTATGAAAACATTTATTATACATAAATGATACACATTACAAAGTTATATTATTATTAGTATTATGGATTAACTGATTGAAGAAAATCGTCGGGCCTATAATTGAAATTAAAAACAAATTAAGTGCRTGGAAATGGTTGTAACTAGCTATTATGAAGATTTAAAAGACAAATATAATCAAAAAAATATATATATGTACAATGAAAAAATACTAATACAACAACAGCTGTAAGTAGTATTTAGTTACAGTTAATAGTTAAATATTCAAATAGTAAATTGGTCAGTATTGCGCAAGGTGATGCACTATATAATAATACATTTATGATAATTTACCTAGACGAGTTCATAAGGATTGAATCAAAATACAACAGATTACAGATAACATACATTTTTAAACTAAAAATTAAGCAACCCACATAATAATATTATGATAATGTCTTGATTATTTCAATAATAATTCAAATCTTTGTTTACATAATAGGTACTATCAATAATTATTATTATAACAATATTGTTAATATCAGTGTCAAAGAACTTGAAATTATATTTCGATATGATATAATAGGCATATACATACTATATTATATGTATAAGTATAAGTATATATAATAGTATTGATATTAACTTTTAAGTATTCGATAGGTACGATGGGGAAATGTAAATATAAAAGTATAAATCAATGAAACAAAACAAATATTTATGTAAAATATACCTAGTCAAAAATATAATAAAATTATAATAATAAATTGAATAGTTATTTGTGGTTAAGCATCGCTATTGGTCAGCTTTAATATTTTTCTTTACTGTAGAAATAATTTGAAACATTWAAAAAATTAATTTAATTTTCAAACACTACAATCTGGGAATAGACCACAGATGTTTTATTTTATAAACTCATATTGGAATATCAAATAACAACAGCTAAAGTTAACGTATTACCAATAGCAATTAAAATATTAACATAAAACTTTGCTGTACAGCTTTAATTACCATAAGAATATTTTATAAATAAAACATACCTATTATCCTTTGCCAATTCGATCAAATATATTATACACAACTAGATGTGCACTTAGACTTAGTRTGCTGTTGTGTGTCTGCTTATTGAATGGAAACAGTTTGTTCATAGAACGATAGTTTAGCGACCGTGCAAGCCACGCCTACGTCTCCTGGTTGTCTCTTAAGATTACATTCAGTGTCGGGCAATCAGACTAAACACATTTTTAGATGTGATACATTATTGTAAATAATAAACCCCAGAAAAATATTTCTTTTATTCAGAATATGTGGTAAAAAAATGTGTTGAAAACTTAATAAATATGATACATATTATACATTTTTAAAATACTATTTTGTTTTTTATTAATCAAATAAATTAAAAGTCAACATTAATTTAAGTGATCAAGTATTTTATGTCAAACGTAGCATATTATGTTTTGTTGATTTTGTAATGAAAGTTAACTCTATTTCATTTTTACAGTACTACATACAAGCGTGAGGGATGGTATGCTGGATTGGTGTGCCACGGGTCAAGTACGTTTTTAATTAATAAATATAAAATAAAGTATAATAATGAGCTAATTATTGATGAAATATCTGGTTTAATTACCATGTGTAAAATGTAAGTATAAAGTGGAACCTCTTTAAATTATAGTTTCAATATTTTCAAATCATTTACAATCAAAATCGAAAAAATTATTATTTTTTTAACGATAGGCTAAAATCAATTTTTGATATATCATAATATACCTGTATAATTTTTTTTTATTAGGAAAGAGCCCTCGGCAGCATAGGCCATTGGGCTTACAAAATATGAATAGCTTCATACCTGTATAATTATTTAAAAGTTAATCACGACAATTAACAACAAATCATCTTTTAACTATTAAAATAATGGTGATGAAAAGATTTAAAATAATGAAAATAGTACATCAACATTTCATCGATAAAATGTCTGCAAGAAATGATTAGATATGTATGGCTCTTTGCCAAGATAAAAATACAATTTTACAAAAAGAAAAGTTTCCGAATCGGTTGAAATATTATTTGCAATGTTCCTAAAGATTTCTGTCAAGGTCTACATAACGGTTCTATATAAGCTTTTTTTTTTCATTAAACATATTTATTTAGAATAGTCAATTATAACAATTGTCCAAGTATAAAAATATGCACATGCCTAATGTTAAAATTACAGTTCTCATAAATAAAATAATAATTCATATTAAATTTTCTATTTTAAATAAAACAACTTTAAACAATAATAATTACACGTATAGAAATATACAACACAATATTTATTTTCATGTTCAGGATCTTGCGTGTCATAATTTATAATATAATAAAAGTAARATAAAAATTATTTTTAAATTTCAACATATTAAGATTAGTACATAATATAGTAGGTATACGAGTATTTAAAATAAATTAATTTGTTCTATTATTCTAAATAATTAACATTAAAATTATTATTATTACTTTTATAAACATCACTACTTTTCAAGCAACTATAAAGACAAATTAAATAATTATTTTAATTTTAAAAAACTCACAATTGAATATTGATAAAAAAAAATTATTATTATATTATTTATATAATTTRTATGTTATATTTTGTACCTATGCAATGAAAGTACATTATAAAATTGTAACACTTATTACAGTTATGAATTATTAATAGTTACCTGCCAGCTAGCTATCTATTACCTTTACCTAGAATATTTAACATTTTATTGTAACTTTCTTATTCAATTCGAAGAATAAAACTGTTTATGCTTTTAATAAGTAGTTTATAAATGTATTCAAATTATGTATAATATAATATAATAATGTATAATATTATATAATTTCATATAATTATCCTAAATTTTTTAACATAGATCATACGTGTGGTTATATATTATATTGGTATGTTAATTTAGGTCATAACAGCATTATGTAACATAAATAATGAATCTGAGAATACAATAATTATGTTTTTGGCAATTTTTTTTTAAATGGTATTTTAAAATTACTATACTTAACAATGCAATACAACATTTTACAAACAAAATTTAAGTTGAATTCTTAATGAACTATTTAGAAATAGTACGTATTTTTTTTTACCAACTAAAATTCAAACATTCCAACATTTTTCATCAAAGCTTATACATATATTTGAATATTTAAAAAACTTAATTAACCAKTAATTTCACTGTTTTAATAACAAATTAAATCTTGAAATCAGAAGTAGGTATATAATACATTTTATCGTAAGTCACAATTTTTAATTACCCATCATAAAATTTCATCAACTTTTAAAATACACGAAAACAAAATTATTTCTTAATTGATAACTTTATCACTCAATAACATATTATGGACATTTAAAAAAAATATACGCAATAATTTATTATTGTCCATGTGCCTCATTAAAATTTTTAATTAATAAATTCAGTAGATATTTAAGTATTTTATTCTGAAAAAAGGTATTTTACTGTGATACTCCTACTTAACTATATAAAATAGCCAATAGGTAAATGGTAATATACYAATGAAATGTAATTTTTTCTATTTRAAATCAGCTATTTAAAATGCGTTCATTATTAACATAAATTTCGCAACATCTCAAGATGGTATACRCGAACTTATGCGCCCACGTATATTGAGTATAATTTAGTTCGAAATAATTTTTTARACAGCCTTTAAGTTTAATTCTAYTCGTATTATTTCTACTTTTGGATATGGCTCTCAAAACCATACAAACTTCTCCAATGAAATTAAAATATTATGAAGGTATACTTAATTTTCTAAATAACAAAAAATATATCAAATAGGTAAATATTAAATTTAAAGAAATAAAAAAATATTGTTTTCATTTGTTAAATTTACTAAAAAAACAGTTTTGTTTTACACTTATTTTTTTATTACTTTTATACTTGGAAAGAATTATTAATAAATATGCACAATAATATTATAAAAACTAGTGCAATCGTAATCATAAAATCTATCTCATTAGGCTTTAATACGGTATGTATACAATATATTGTTTAATTCGATTTGCTTACATTTGAATTAAATTAAACTCACAGTTATGTATAGTACCTAAGGTAGGTGAAAACATTTTTTTTTTTTTATGATTATTACGGCCCCCAAATCYCAAAGCAATGATAATTAGACGTATAATTTTATAGGTATAAACTTATAATATAATAGGTAAATAGGTAGGTACGCATAGGTGGGTACTTACCAGATTGTGAATAATGCTCATCGAACTCAGTAACGACCGTGTCATTGACAGCAATGACCAATTCTGTGACCGTGCCGTCGAAACGTTCAGTGGACTTCGCTTGTAGGTGGCCGATTGCCGTCCACGTGATCGTGGCCACGAGGATCGCGGTGGACATGACGGATAATGCTACGATCAGTGGCCACTTGGCCGTCGGCGCTCGGACCGATGTTTTCGAACTCATGTTATATTGTGTATATTATTATATCGTATTATAATATATCGAGAGTAATATGACAATTATTTTGGATTGAAAAACTACAAAAAAGAACTGCCGAGAAGATGAAATAAAAAAAACTAAAAACAATGATGCGAAACAATGATGCAAATGCAACGACACGCACTTGGACGTGAAATTGTTGAATTTATCATAATACCAATGTGACAATATAACATAATATAATAATWATTATTGTTGGATATACCTAGACGACTACGACTTTGATTCGTGGCGATATTATTAATTTTTGAGGGAAAACACGCGAGGCGCGCGTATCGTAGGGGAGTTGGACCGGCACAGACCGCGTGTACCACCGACTRGACGAGACGGACACGAGACCGCACGCGCGCGCCGCAATACCCCCACCACCGAAGACGCCAGACTGTCTAAATATCGCGCACGATGACCCCCCGGGGGGACGTACGAGCGCGGTACAAGTTCATTGCGAATCTTGTCATGTGCACCRGTAGGTAGGTATAATATGTGTATATATGTAATACTGTGATGCACTTCGCATAACGAGTAGACGCGTACGTAATAATAATAATTTGTTTCAAATAAAATATTTTATTGTCTACGCTACAATTTTATATTATTATGATTTTGTGGGTATATGATAATGTTTTGTATACATTTATTACATTTAGAAAACCATGTTTTTTGGATTAGTAATATATTGTCGATATTGTCGTTATTTATTTTGATCATCGACTAACTATTGAGAATCGGCAAGCAACCAAAAAATAATTTTTTTTTTTTTTAATCGTACAAATTAAATTCAAGTAAGTCAAACAAAATTAAGCCTTGTAATATATTTATAAGAATTTAATATTGTATACATTTTTTCGTTTAAATTATATATTTTCAAAAGCAGATAAATGGATACACAAATCATTTTACTGTGGATTACCACTTACTGCATTAGTCAAVCATCATTATAATTAATTTAAGACAAAAATAAAATATTTTGAACAAAATAATATTTTTGAATTTTTATGCATTCGTGATCTTCATTCGGGAAAATTAAATTTTTGGTGTTATTGATCGCATATATTTTTGAAGGTTAGGTTAGGTTAGTATAAGATTCGTAATTATTTTTATTTTTATATCTTAAAGGGTCTGTGTCCTAGTAAGTGCACATGTACACAGAAAACGCCTAAGGAGACTTCCCTTATTGTTAYTATTATTATTATACATTACATATATATATATATTTTTTAACTAAAACGAGCTGGATTAGTTTTTTTCAAAATGTTTACTGCATATTAAATTATCAAATATTGAGCTGAGTGCTTAAGGGCCTCCTAATATAGTCAATTTTAAAATGTACAATGTACAATAAAAATTAATTTGTTAGTAAAATATAAACACAATTTTAAATAAAAATAAAATACCCAATTAAAAAATGAAGAACATTGTAAGCTAGGCAARTTGAATTTATACTATAGTATAGGTATAAGTATTTAGCAAATTTATAGTATATTAATTGCTATAATATAATTCATATTCAACTTATTTATTTTGATTTTAAATTTATCTTAATCAAATTACAATGTCGAAGTACTCAAATAATATTGTTAGAGTAATAAACTATAATATGTAGAGTAAATGAAAAAATAATAGTGTAGATAGAAAACCTATTGCTAGTATTAATTTACTCGAAATGTGTTAATAACCAAATAAATAAACAATTTTAATTTCGAACTGTTTATGTTTATAGTTCATTAATAGCTTCGACTTACTAATTMTATATATTTTTTTATCTCTGTGACAGCGGTGTGACCTAGTCACACCTCTCTGTCCAACTCTTATAATACTAAAAATTGTATCCTACATTTTTATCTAACTTTCATCATTGACTCCATGTGTTCTAAGTCTATATTTTTTTAATTTTTTTTTGTAAGGGGAACCCACGGCAACATAGGCAATTGAGTATGGGGTGGTACGGTAGGGGTTATTTTTATGTATTTATTTGTAGGTTTTTAAGTGGGTAAGGTTAGGAGGTTAGGGTGGGAGGTGTTTGTGTATGTTTGGCAACTGGCAAGGATATGTTGCTAAAAATCCGGGGTGGTCACCCATCCGGGAGCTAGCAACTGCAGCCGGTACGTACGCTCAGTGCGACTCCGCAGATTGAGCATACGACCGCGTTTCACCAAGCCACTCTAAGTCTATTATTATGGACTAACTTAATACTTAAGGTTATAATACCTCAAGAACTACTCGCTCGAATTCGACTTTGATGCATCAAAATAATTATTAATAATGAATTATATATATATATTTTTAAAAATTTACAATAAAGTGGTTGGTTTTCATTTGAAAAAAAAAACGAAGTTTATACCTCCACAAGAAATTTTTCAAATGGTGAAATTTTAAGATGAAAATGGGATATAATTTTATAGAAATTGGAACGCCCCTTGTGTGAACCCYYYWTWRG